CAAGCCTCGTGGTCTCAGTGACGGTCTCCGCCCAACTACGCCTTCGAGTCCCCACCGACGAAGCTGCGGGAACCATCCATCAGGGGCGCTGCAGCCATTGCCGCAAGCCTGCAACCACGGGCACACACTAGACGGCGAGGACGAGGCGGTGCTGCTCCTAGCAAAAAACAAGCGTCTCAGTTTTGCTACATGCTTCAACCGGCATAGATTTTTGCTACAACTGGCATAGCATTTTGCTACAACTACCGTCACGTTTTGCTACAACACACAGCCGGCGTCGCGGTTTTGCTACAACTAGCATCGCTTTTTGCTACAACCAGTATAATGTTTTGCTACATCCATCACGGCCGAGCTGCGACGCGCGACGAGGACGACGGCTTTTTGTTGCAACCGTCATAGGTATTTGCTACGTGCGGCAACGGGTTTTGTTACATCCGTTCATTTTTTAGAATGCAAATGTTGCTACCTGCAACGGCGAGCTACAACCAGCGACAACGGCAACCTTTCTTTTTTGTCGCAATCGTGTCTCCATTTTGCTACGACCAACAACGAAAAATGCTACAACAGCCAATTATATTTGCTGGAACCAATCAATCGCCAGTGAGGCGGAGCTGCATCCATGGCGTGCGCGGGCGGGATCCATCCATGGCGAGCGTGGCCAGCGGAGCTGCATCCATGGCGAGCGCGGCCAGCGGAGCTACATCCATGGTGAGCGCAGATCTCCGACGAGCACGAGCGGCGGAGCTGCATCCATGGCGAGCGCGGAAGGCCGGCGAGGGCACCCACCGGTGACGAGGAACGCCGCGGTGGTGCTTCAAGCTCGGCCGTTTTCTCGTGGGGTATGACATATGTGGTCTCGGCGGCACTCCGGCCATTGCATTTTTTTTTGAAAAAATGACTCGTGACGAGGAAGAAACGAGGGACAGATCTGACGGTCATTAATCGCTGCATCGGGCGGCCAGGGCTGGACCGGCCCAACTATTGGACCGGCGCGCCGGCGCCTAGCGTCGCCCTATTTTGTGCGTATGTAAATGGAGCCATAAAAATAACAACAGTACCCCTAATGACAAGGAAAAAATAATAACAAGTATTAAGGGGAACAACACGAACACCACCTGCAAGATGGGCTTGATGGCGCGCCGCCAGCTCGATCCACAGCTGGAGCCAAGCCAAGCATGTATGAACCGCCGGACGGAAAGTCCTTGAGCCGGCCTCGAAGGACCAACATCTCAAAGGAGATGTCGCTGCATCCGGACCATCACAAACGCACGCAAATCCAAAATGCTTCTCATCGGCAATGGAGCCCATGCTGATGAAGCGGGGGAGAGGCCCTAGAATCAGAATCGGAATTGCTTCACACACGACAGTCAACGCACGACGCTTGCACGATTCTCCTTCCCCAACAGTGCTCCTGCATGCACGCTAGCTGTTGGTGCTGCCACGTCTGAATCATGCATGCATCGGCCGTGCATGCGTCGTGTGTATAGCAGCGCTGAATCAGAATCCTCTGCCCGCCCGCGGCCGTCGCCATGCTTCCTGACCAAGGAACCCTAACCTCGCTGTTCCGCTGGAGCGGCGGGAATCTACCTCCGCGAGCCCCATGACCCCGCCTAGGAGCTCGGGAACACACATCGCTAGAACGGCATTGTCATCTCCTCCAATACGATGGTGCGACACACCCATATCCACACCATATATGCACACCGGAGCAAAAGATCTCGGGTTCCCCCACTCCACCCCTCCCCGAGCGGCCGTCATTGGGGGAGCGAATGCATGGTTTTGCTGGCGGTTGCAGGAAAAACGAAAGCGTCTCTCTAACCGCCTCAAGGAGAGGTGGTAACCAAGCGAATTGACAAAAATTCTACTCCGAAGTGATATAAATGCTCTTATATTTCTGTACGGCGGGAGTACCTATTAAACCTGACACTACATAATATTACCCTTCCTTTTTTTGTGAACAGGTCGCATGCATGGCTAGTAAACCACGTGAGTTTAGGTCAAAGAATACATGGTGCCACACGAAGAACAAAATATTTGTAAACAGAGATTAAAGTTGATGTATTTTTCTCAAAAAAGTATATTGTTTCTATAAGAGAAGTGACACTTGCCAGAAACAAGGAAAATGAAAGATAAAGGGAAACGATTAACCCGGGCCGACCGGCTAGAATGTCAATCGGCCACGCGTCCAGTAGGTCCCATTCATGGAAGCCTTCTGTTACCTTATCCTTTCGCCCGTTTGCCTTATCTCTTTCTTCTTCCCCATCACTCCCTTTTCGCCAAAAGAAAACACACCTCCCTCTATCAGTACACGGCGGCATGCGCAAGTTCGTTTCTTAAGGCTTTGCCCATGGCGGAGTACGACGAGGAGTGCATGGCCATTGTGGCCACCAAGATACTTCTCAGCCTCCAGGAAGTTTGTGCGGCGACTGGAGTGGTTCCGCGGCAGTCCAACGACCTCGGCGTGTCGGTAATGGATCTCTACCGGCCAGAGGACGAGCACCGCTCCCCCCTGCCCAACGGCGACAGATGTACTCTAAGTTCCGTAGTCGCAACATCTGAGTTGTAGGAGACCCCCACCCGCCCTCCCCCGCGATGCTGGAACCCGACAAGCCAGGAACCTAGAGATGATGGATACTACCGGCGACCACCGATACTGTCAATGGTGCTGGGACCGGCGGCGGCGACCCTTTTTCTTTGCTGGGACGACCAGATTTTTTGTTGTGATCCAATGACCTAGACACATGCTAAATGGGTCAGGCCTGGCACGCGGCACGCCAGGGGTCGTGCCTGGGCCTGAAGGCTGAGCATGTGGGGCGGCACGACACGGCCCACTTATTTATTTTATTCTTATTTAGTTTTGTAAATATGCATGATGGAAAAAAAGGGCAATAGACCAAATTTGGTCAAGAACAGCATAGCAGGCCGGCAGCCTAACAGGCCTGACGTGCCACCGTGCCGACCCACATAGATTCTGGGCCGTGCCTGGGCTACAGGAGGCAGCACATGGGCCGGCACGGCACGGCCCGGCTAATAATTGTGCCATGGCGGGCCGGGCTGTGCCAGGCACAATTACGATGGGCTGGGCTGTGCCGTGCCGAGCCGGCCCATTTGGCCAGCTCTGCTTCAAAGTGCGCCGCCCTGCTCTGTTGCAACTCCACCGTCCCCATCGACCTCCAAATGGATCCATCTCCCTCCCATTCATCGCCGCCGAGAAAAGTTTTAGTAGCGGCTGCAGGGGAGCTCCAGGGCTGAGGCCGCCGTGGGGCTCAAGTCAGTCTCGATTAGTCCAGCCAGGTAGGGCTCCTTGGGGCTTTATATAGACCGAGACGAGGCGACGCCGCCGAATCAATCCCGCAAATCCGGTAACGACTAACGAGGGTCCAGCTTTTCCATGGCCGGGGAGTGTCAGGGCTTGGACATGTTCCGGTCGCTGGAGAGGGTGTCCGATGACGCTATGCTGCTGCGGGAGAGGCTCAAGGCGGACCTGCTGACCTTCCCTGAGGCTGCAGCGTTGGAGGAATATCAGCTCGACGAGGCGGTCGAGAAGATCATCACGGAGTCCAACCCCTCCACCGCGACCCCGACTGCCCCGGGCATGGTCCGGCTGTCCGCGGACAGCATCAGCCATCTCTTTGGCTTTCGCCACCGGGCGGAGATCCCCACCGTGCACGACCTTGCGCCCACCGGGGCGTTCCCGCCAGGGTGGATCCACGATCAGAGGAAGAAGCTGGACGACGAGGTTCAGCCGCACAAGCGGAAGTTCGGCCGCGACATCGGGGTCCTGCTCTCCAAGATCCGCGTCGATTTGCTCACCAGGGGCTACGTCGACGTCCCCGAGCACTACCTCGAGGACACGCCGGACCTCATCGCCGCCGAGGAGGAGGCCAGGCTCAAGGGCCTTACCGGACTCGAAGGTGACAAGTGGTGGATTCAGCTCCGACAACAGGAAACCAATTAATGCAGCACCTCCCAGCCTCAGGTCAGCCCGGTCTTCAACCTAACAAACATTGATTCATCTCTAGTATCGCCTGAGTTTTCGATCCGACGGACACTACCTGTACTTTGGATCGGAAAGAGATTTGGCACAAAACATAACAGCCCTCTGATACCAGAGTAATAATCAAATGAGTGAGCCTTACAATTTGTCCCACCCAAATCACTGATTACATTCTTCATTAATTGAATAAGAAACAAGGCACAACCAAATTCGACTAGAAATAACTGGGTGTCTCAGGCACACAATCTTGCAGTGTCAGATGGGTGAGAGACGTGAGGTTCGAGAGCAGAGCCATTGACTGTATGCTTGATTCAGATGAAATGTCAAGCTTCTGGAGGGAAGCAGGGAAAGGCTTGATGGTCTGAGCTTCTCCCATGGGCCACTCGGAGAACAGCTTTCCACATCTGAATATTGTTATTGATTCCAGCGATTCCATGCCCTGGATTCCCCGCCCTTCCCCCGCAGGCACAATAACCATGCCCGCACAGCCGGAGATGCCAAGTGTCTGCAGTGAGCTTGGTGATGGGAACTGTATTACACGTTGCACATGCTCTTCATTCTGAACTGAACTGAAGACAACACTGCCATCCAGATTGCCGAAGTCCAAAGAACCATTACACCCACGAACAACCAATACCTTCTGACTGTAAGTCAATTTTCTTGAACTGGATTCCACGACTGAAACTGTTGAAGAGACAGGCACGGAGAGCAGATACAGCTTGGGGCAATCATCAATAAGAACACTACACAAGTTGGGGCAAGAAAGCCTCGAGAATGGCATCCCATAGAGATTGGGACAACATCTGCATTCGATGCTTTCAAGCCTTGGTAACAACTGGGAATCTGGTACCACAACCCATTCCTCAAGTTCTGGCATGTCATCAAAAACAATTTTCTTCAGATGGATGAAAGTTTTGCCTTCACCGAAACCATAGTCAGATTGTAACTGACGCATTCCTGAAATGCTCTTCAAAGAGAGTTCCTTGAGATGCAGAAGCTGCCCAAAGGGTGGAAGAGTGCCCCAAGATATACCCTCTAAATGGAGAGAGACTAGTTTTTTCACCGAGATGTCAAGACACAACCAACTTGGAGCAGCGCTACCACCATGATTTATAATACCAAGTGCCCTAAGATTAGGGTGTGGTTGAAGGCCATCAAGAATATCAGATCCTGTGTCCTGTTGCCCTTTCCCCCAAACTAGTGTCAACTTCTTCAGATTCCTTTTTGACATCAGTTTGGCTTCACTAGCTTCTTCCTTGGTTGCCACTTTTTCAAGATTACATATTCTGAGTTCTCCTCCAAGCTCTGCCACTTCCCCCAGCTCTCTTAATTCGAATCCAACACTCTCTTTCTTAACACAGAATTCTTTTAGTTCCTGTAGATACTTCATCTTTCCAACCTTAGGAACACTGGAGTGGAGTTCTTTTTTAGCAAGGAAGTTTTGCAAATTTACAAGGTGGCTAATGTCGTTAGGCAAATTAGAACTACCATGCCAATCTTCGAGGTCTAAGAATTTCAAGTGATAAAATCTGGATAGTGTGCTAGGTAAAGCTATTTCTGTGCCATAAGGTGATCCAAGTTTGAGGTACTGGAGGTGGATAAGCTTTGAGAAGTTTTGTGGCAAATCATCTAAGGACTTCACAACTACAAACAGGATATGCAGATTTTTTACTTCCTCGAACGTATCTTTTAAGATATCAGAAATTCTTTTTTCGTATTCACTAAAAATCATCAATGTCCGTAAATTTGCAATGTCTATCCTTCCTTTCAGTTTTCTCATTTCCTCCTGAAAATTTTCATCATATCTATCTTCTAGGGTGATAGATAAATGCTGAATAGATGGTGGGACTGTGTCAGCATTAAAATCTGGAACACTTACATTGAGGCATTCGTGTGCTGCAACACTTCGAGACAGGTCATGCAGTGAATCATGCATTACATAGTTTTCACCAAACAACCCATCTTCCCTCATGAGAAAACGACCGCCCACTAGTTCTTTCAAGTAAGTATTATGGCCTAAGTGAGTAGAGTTTATGATGCCTAATGCAATCCAAAAGCGATTAATTTCTAAACTACTAAACCTATGGTATTTAGGGAAAAGGGCGCAATAAGAAAAACATTTTTGCAGGCGTAAACTGAGGTAATCGTAACAAGTATACAAAGATGACATGATGTCATTATTGCGTTGTGAATTTTTTTCGCATTCCTTGTCAAGAATTGCCGTCCAGTGTTCCCGAGATATGTCTGTCCTTAATAGCCGACCAATTCTTTTGGCTGCTAACGGTGAACCGTCAAACTCTGTCGCAATTTTTCTTGCAATATCAGCCAAGTCATCTTCATAATGCCTAGGTTTATTGATTTCACCAAATATACATGCTTCAATGAATGTGAGGAAATCTCCAGGGTCTAAACCTTGCATTTCTATTGTATCAACTGTTTTTATCATTTGTGCTAGTTCTGGGAATCTAGTTGTGACAAGTACCACGCTGCCCTTGTGTCCTCCCTTTTTGAATGGAGCTAATAGGGTATGCAACCCATCATAATTTGCGTCGACCCACGCATCATCCAAAACAAGTAAGAACCTACTGGACTCTAGTATCTCTGCAATGGAAATCTGAAGCTCGTCTAAATTGGCTGTTTCACTGGGAGCTCTGCTGGTTAGCTCCGTAACGACCTTCTGGGTTAGCCTAAGCACATCGAAATCCACTGATACATTTACCCAAGAAGTGAAATCGAAGTGTTTTCTAACCCTTGGATCGGTAAACAGCTTTTGGACGAAAGTTGTTTTTCCAATGCCCGGTGGCCCGACAAGGGAGAACAGAAAAGGTTTCATTACAACTGACGATGACATCTAGAGTTTTCTCAAAAATGACCGTTCTACCATACATTTCATCGTGTGAAAATGTAAATGTTGGTGATACAAGAGGCCGTCTTATGTTGACAGCTTTGGGAGCGCTGCTGCTATGGTCTGGAATTGTGAGCAAGTCGGAGACCCGAACACATTACACATATGGAGTGTGTCTCCTCTAAGACCGACTTGATTTTGATGGACATGGACACACTGTCAAATACCAACTCATGGACATGGTCGCCGATATCAGACTTGGTTTCATTTTGTGAGCCACTGGTACATGCACAAGAAAAGTATGGAAGGCAGTTACCAATAGTGTGGCGAGCATGACCCATCTTGACCTTGAGGCCAGCGCCCAGATCCGGCTTGACTAGCTGCGTGCCGTCAAAGTGGTCCTGGATCATGAAGTACTGGAGCTCGTTGAGCACTTTGTCAGCCTCGTTGGTCTTCTGGCTCAGGTCTTCCAGCAAGCCCGTGAAGGCAGGATAGTCGTAGTAGTCGTAGGACCTCTCCAGTAGGCCGGCCATGTGGCTGAAGTCATTTATGATCTTCTGGGAGTTGAGGCCGAGCTCGGGGCTGGCCACGTAGGAGGCCACCCGTTCATCTTGCCCAGGAGGGACTGCGCCGTGTCCATCTTCTCCGGCCGTGAGCAACGCGGGCGATAGTTTGTTCGTGTGGTTGGGGGACACTGCAATGAACAGTACAATGCAGAAAGGGCGGTAGTACTCTGAAGAGGTCCTGATGGCCTCGTTTTGTAGCAGTAGTTCTAGTTCCGTGGGTGCTGGTATTGCAGGCCAAGCTACCATGTAGTTTTCCATGTCCGCTGCAATGAAGGACAAAAATAGTTTGGCTGTCGCCTTTGTCGTTGAAACGCCATCATTGACCTGACCTGATGCAGTGCACTGGGCCGGCCGGAGGTGGAATCCAAGACGTTTCCTTGATTTTATGTCTCGACGAATCAAATAGACTGGTTTGCTAATGTGAAGGAGGTGGTGGACACCATGTGAAAGGTGGCATGCGATGGCAAAGGGACAATAAACTAGCAGGGCTTGCTAATGTTTTGAAACACTAGTACCAGATCGATTGACAACATTTAGGGCATCTCTAACCACCAGGGGCATAGACAGTCTGTGTGTGTGGTGGGTGGGGGTTAGGATCTTTTGCAGTACTGTATGGTGCAGTACAGAGGATGACATGTGGGGCCGGGTCTCACATTTATTACGCTAAGAGCATCTCTAGCCGCGCCCCCAACAGGCCCCCCCAAGCGACTTTTTCGGCGCCGGCGCCAAAAAAACGCCCCAGTCGCGTCCCCAGGATGACGGAAAGCGCCGGTTCGACCCTTTTTTCCGCCCGGTGGCCGCAGGCCGAACCCGGCGCGCTGGGGGCGCTTGGGGGCTCCGGCGCAAGTGAAATGCGCGGCTGGCCCACGCCGTCAGGTGAAAAGTCAAGATTTTCTTCCCCGACTCGCCTCCCACCCCCCGCGCTCTCGGCTGCCACTAGCTATATCCCGGCGCCGCCCGCCGCCTTTCTCCGCTAGATAGCCATTCTCCGCCGGAAAAATAGCAGAGGTAGCAGAGGTTCGCCGCGGCAACCCCTCCGACAGCAGCTGGGCGTTTCCGGCCGCCGTTTCCAGCCGCGGAGGGGCAGTTTAACGGCGGGTGCACGCCCACCGGGCGCAAGGTGTTCGACGAATTGCCTGCCTTGGCGATGGACTCGGATGACGAGGAAGCGCTTGCCGCGCTGCTGGAGGAGGAAGCCGAGGTCGACGTCCAGGAAGAAGAGCATCTCATGGTGCTCGCCGCCCTCTCCCAGCTGCTGGCGAGCAATGAAAAGCCGCGGCGAGGTGGCTCGGCGCCGGGGCGGGTGAAAGCAAAGAACCGGCATCGTCTCGAAAGCTACTGCATGCTCTACTCTGACTACTTCGCCAATGCTCCACTTCACGGCGACAGAACATTTCGGCGCCGTTATCGGATGAGCAGAAAGCTTTTTCTCAGGATTGTGAATTCCATCCTGTTGGGAAACGTAGTAATTTCAAAAAATTTCCTACGCACACGCAAGATCATGGTGATGCATAGCAACGAGAGGGGAGAGTGTTGTCCACGTACCCTCGTAGACCGTAAGATCATGATGACAATGCGGTTGATGTAGTCGTACGTCTTCACGATCCGACCGATCCGAGTACCGAACGTACGGCACCTCCGAGTTCAGCACACGTTCAGCTCGATGACGATCCCCGGACTCCGATCCAGCAAAGTGTCGGGGATGAGTTCCGTCAGCACGACGGCGTGGTGACGATCTTGATGTTCTACCGTCGCAGGGCTTCGCCTAAGCACCGCTACAATATTATCGAGGTGGACTATGGTGGAGGGGGGCACCGCACACGGCTAAGGAACGATCACGAAGATCAACTTGTGTTGTTGTGCCTAGAGGTGCCCCCTGCCCCCGCACCGGGAGTAGGATTCCCCCCTTCCAAGTAGTAGGAGTAGGAGTCAAGGAAAGGGGGAAGAGAAGAGAAGGAAGGAGGGGGCACAGCCCCTCCCCCTAGTCCATTTCGGACTAGGCCTTTGGGGGGGGGGCAACCTCTCCTCTCTCTTTCCCCTAAAGCCCAATAAGGCCCATATACTCCCCGACGAATTCCCGTAACTCTCAAGTACTCCGAAAAATACCCGAATCACTCGGAACCTTTCCGAACTCCGAATATAGTCGTCCAATATATCGATCTTTACGTCTCGACCATTTTGAGACTCCTCGTCATGTCCCCGATCTCATCCGGGACTCCGAACTCCTTCGGTACATCAAAACTCATAAACTTGTAATAAAACTGTCATCGAAACCTTAAGCGTGCGGACCCTACGGGTTCGAGAACTATGTAGACATGACCGAGACTCGTTTCCGGTCAATAACCAATAGCGGAACCTGGATGCTCATATTGGCTCCCACATATTCTACGAAGATCTTTATCGGTCAAACCGCATAACAACATACGTTGTTCCCTTTGTCATCGGTATGTTACTTGCCCGAGATTCGATCGTCGGTATCTCAATACCTAGTTCAATCTCGTTACCGGCAAGTCTCTTTACTCGTTATGTAATGCATCATCCCGCAACTAACTCATTAGTCACATTGCTTGCAAGGCTTATAGTGATGTGCATTACCGAGAGGGCCTAGAGATACCTCTCCGACAATCGGAGTGACAAATCCTAATCTCGAAATACGCCAACCCAACATGTACCTTTGGAGACACCTGTAGAGCTCCTTTATAATCACCCAGTTACGTTGTGACGTTTGGTAGCACACAAAGTGTTCCTCCGGCAAACGGGAGTTGCATAATCTCATAGTCATAGGAACATGTATAAGTCATGAAGAAAGCAATAGCAACATACTAAACGATCAAGTGCTAAGCTAATGGAATGGGTCAAGTCAATCACATCATTCTCCTAATGATGTGATCCCGTTAATCAAATGACAACTCATGTCCATGGCTAGGAAACTTAACCATCTTTGATTCACGAGCTAGTCAAGTAGAGGCATACTAGTGACACTATGTTTGTCTATGTATTCACACATGTATTATGTTTCCGGTTAATACAATTCGAGCATGAATAATAAACATTTATCATGAAATAAAGAAATAAATAATAACTTTATTATTGCCTCTAGGGCATATTTCCTTCAGTCTCGCACTAGAGTCAATAATCTAGTTCACATCGCCATGTGATTTAACACCAATATTCATATCTGTATATGATTAACACCCATAGTTCACATCATCATGTGACCAACACCCAAAGGGTTTACTAGAGTCAATAATCTAGTTCACATCGCTATGTGATTAACACTCAAAGAGTACTAAGGTGTGATCATGTTTTTCTTGTGAGAGAAGCTTAGTCAACGGGTCTGTGACATTCAGAGCCGTATTTATTTTGCAAATATTCTATGTCTACAATGCTCTGCACGGAGCTACTCTAACTAATTGCTCCCACTTTCAATATGTATCCAGATTGAGACTTAGAGTCATCTGGATCGGTGTAAAAGCTTGTACCGATGTAACTCTTTACGATAGGCTCTTTTATCACCTCCATAATCGAGAAATATTTCCTTAGTCCTTACTAAGGATATTCTTGACCAATGTCCAATGATCTACTCCTAGATCACTATTGTACTCCCTTGCCAAATTCAGAGCAAGGTATACAATAGGTCTGGTACATAGCATAGCATACTTTATAGAACCTATGACTGAGGCATAGGGAATGACTTTCATTCTCTTTTCTATTTTCTGCCGTGGTCGGGATTTGAGTCTTACTCAATTTCACATCTTTGCAACACAGGTAAGAACTCTTTCTTTGACTGTTCCATTTTGAACTATTTCAAAATCTTGACAAGGTATGTACTTTTGAAAAACTTATCAAGCGTCTTGATCTATCTCAATAGATCTTGATGCTCAATATGTAAGTAGCTTTACTGAGGTCTTTCTTTTAAAGAACTCCTTTCAAATACTCCTTTATGCTTTCCAGAAAAATTCTACATCATTTCCGATCAACAATATGTTACTCACATATATTTATCAGAAAGGCGGTAGTGCTCCCACTCACTTTCTTGTAAATACAGGCTTCACCGCAAGTCTGTATAAAACTATATGCTTTGATCAACTTATCAAAGCGTATATTCCAACTCTGAGAGGCTTGCACCAGTCCATAAATGGACCGCTGGAGCTTGCACACTTTGTTAGCACCTTTTGGATCGAAAAAACCTTCCGGTTGCATCATATACAACTCTTCCTCCAGAAATCCATTCAGGAATGCAGTTTTGACATCCAATTGCCAAATTTCATAATCATAAAATGCGGCAATTGCTAACATGATTCGGACAGACTTAAGCATCGCTACGGTTGAGAAAGTCTCATCGTAGTCACCCCTTGAACTTGTCGAAAACCTTTTGCAACAAGTCGAGCTTTTTAGACAGTTACATTACCATCAGCGTCAGTCTTCCTCTTGAAGATC